TTATATATATGTAATACATGTCTTCTTCTTCTTCCCTCCATTGTATTTCTTAGCTCCAAGTTTTGCTTATAAAAAGGGATTGGGATTGGAATTTTTCTAGAATTTCATAATCAATTAGCTTGAATGCTATTGCTTACTAATTCACCTATAAATCAGTTTTGTTTTTCTTTTCTTTTGAGAAATGGAATTAACGACCGACGACACCGGAACCCCAGCAAGGAAGCTTTAGCCTAATTCATTGTTCAAGTACATGTCAAAGCTCTCAACCCCATTTTCACCATATATTTATCAGGTGAGCTCTGAGTTTTTAGATTTAACTTATATGCTAATTCATTGTGTGTGTGTGTGTGTGTGTGTGTATACAAATATATTTACATCTTCTTCATTCGTATCGCTTTCTGTTAAGATCCTAGCTAGCCAATTATGTGTGTGAGTGCACGTTTACACATACAGACATCTTGGGGGGTAAAACATCCATAATTAAACAGGAAAATGCTTCCAAGTTAACTGATTTCAAGATGGTAAACCAATCAGCAGTCTTAAATAAAGTAGTTACCCTAAAGGAATGATATCAAAGTCTGAACATATATATATATATATATATATATATAGTTGTCCTATTAGGGTTTTCAACTGGGATTTTAGTGTCCCTCTCCTCTACAGTACACTAATCAGTTTTCTACATGAAAGTTGGGAATCAAATCGAAACTTGGCACTGTTTCAGAGTGCAGAATATTTCACTTGATCAATAGCAAGAAGCATGCTTATTATTATTAATTAAGGCTCCAATAGATAATGCATGGTTCTCTTCATTTTACAAAAGCCTATATGTTTGCGTGAAATAATATAAAATCTGTACAATAACAAAGACTGTTAACCAGTAAGAATTTTGTAGCATTTTCGATCGTTACAAGAATGCCCCCCTTAGCCTAGATGTTATATATGAAATCTCCAGAGTTTGAAGTTGGCCGGATTATATATAACACAGCAGAATTAGCTGCTGCTGGTGATCCCTGCAGCAATAGTATTTGCATGCATTTAGTTATATTATATATATGTTGTTTATAGTGCGAATTATTGTCCCCATATTGAAAAGTTGAGAAACTTTACAAATGACTTATGACGAGTTGGGCCACTCACTCTATTGCCGATTGAATTTGAGGTTGGAACCTCTACTTTTTCATGTGTGTATGACATGATTATCATGTTCGTCCTTTACGAAGTAATATTTTTCTAGCCCTTTTCGATATCTTCAGGTGCTGATATTCTTGTGTGATATAAATATTGTACCAATTATACTTTCCTTCTTTTTTTGGTTGAGAAGAAAGAATGAAGCAATTGTATATATTGGATGCTGGATATTAATTAAATATTCTACATGATCAGCTAGCCAGCATATATAAAAAGAAACCTGACTTGATCAAATGGAAGTTGAAGATTTTTCTGCATGCAGGCCATGGGGGCAATGGAGACGAATGGGTTTGACCTAATCTTGAACCGCAACCACAACACATGTTCTACGTTAAAGCAAGGAGTACCAAGCCTGCAGGAAAGGGCTAACTAGCTTGGTCTTGCTTGTCAAGGCCAGCATGTACAGCTGGACATTGATACTTTTGATACTTTTTTTAATATTTCTTTTGTTTGTATTTCTCTGTTTTGAGTAGATTACATGAAGAAATTTTAAATAAAAAAAAAACAAAAAACAAAAAAACAAAGTGATAGCTTCTCACACACTCACTGATCTGCAAGTTAAGATCCTTTTTCACTAAGCTAGATTCTATTGGCGAAGATATTTTTTAATTAAACCAATATTGTCCTAAACAAATATGCAAAGTTGGCAACAATCAATTGCATATTTGTACTTCGGTTATATCTTAAAAGTTCTAGTATTAATTGACTCGGTGCTTGCAAGAACTGAAATCAATGGCCATGGCCTAAACCCTTCCACCTGACGACCACTTCTTCACCATAATCTGATTGGGAAGTTCAATTCTGACTCGTACAAAAATAATATTTTCCCTTTGCTTAGCTTTGAAGTGCCTCACGACACGAGGTATAATTTCCGATCACAATGAACAGTAGGCCAACTTGATATAGAAACCCATTTATGCCATACAATTAGGCAACGGCACATAAAGTTAGGTTTCAAAACAATTGTTTCAACCTCACGAATTTTGTGCCTACATTACAAGCTTCGTTCACCTCCGTAGTTAAATATAACTCGAAAAACAATAACTTCTGGCTTGGCTTTGGCTTGGGGTGGGGGTTTATGAGGCGGTTCAGGCATTTAACTCCTCTATTTCATACATTTAAATATAAACATACCAGAATATCTTACAAGCACAAGGTAAACATTGATTACAGTCAAGAGCAAGGTCTTCCATATTCAACTTAAAACTAGTGGCTGTATGCAATCCATCATGGATCAGTTACCTAGTGAGATAGTATATAACTAGGAAAATGACCACAAAAGATGCCACTAGTGTAAACATTCTCTGGCTTGACTTCGTCTCGAAAACCTGAACAAAATAAAAACATGCCTTGAATCAGATGGGGACCCTTAGATTAGAACGATAAACAAAGGAAAGGACCCGGTAATTTCTGAAAAGAGAAGGATAAATTTGGAAAGGTAAACAACAGCCTGGCAGATAGCACACATACCATCTTAAACTTGTCCATGGTACCAGATAGCACTCCCCTTGATGAATCCATATCGTTTCCCTGAATTAGACAACGTACATAATAATAAATGACATATAAACAAGATAAAGTATAGCCTGGCAGGAAAAATGTGAACTATAGCGAAAAGGATGTATTAGCTGCAGCATATGTACCATTCTGTCCAACATGTGATTGTGACTCTCCACCTCCTCATGTATATCACCTGACAACTGTTTGAAAGAAATGGATTAGGAATAGACAACAAGATATAAAAGTCTATGGGACTAGAACTACAAAACATCAGTGGGCATCATTAAGCAATAGTTTGCCAAATCTAGCTTATAACTTCACAGACAACAGTAGAGGATTCTGAGACAATCATTATGTTTAACAGGGGATGTCTTCTTAACATTGAAAAACAAGGAAACCAAGGACTCCTCATTCCTATTAGAAATATTTCATGGTTGCTGTATTTGTTTACCATTAAAGCAAAGGTAAACATCAATAAATTATGCAAGAAGATTTTAACCAAGAGCCTACTACAAAATTCAAAAGCTACATTTTTCCTTTCTCAACCTATTCAAACATTTGGAAGAAGCATACACTAACTAGACAGCAACACAAAATGTTAATCATAGGTATCAAAGGCAGTTGGGAACTGCCACAATCACAATTGCAGTGTGACTTTCAAGTTTCCAGGCATTACAAGACAAGGGGGCTTACTCTCTTCAGCAAATTGACTCTATCTTGCAATCCGTCCACTGCTCTTTCATTGTCATGTTCATCAATTTCATGGGAGTAGGAAGCCGAGGCCCTGATGCCACCCTCCTCAATGCCATCAAAAAGAGCAACTTTGTTGCCACGGTAGTCCCTGCATATAAAGAGGTTTCATTGTATTGTCAGAATGATCAGTAAACATACCATAAACAACATATATTTCCTTCAAATGAAACATGGGAAAAATCCAGATAATCTAACAAAAGCTTCAGTAATTAAAGAGGTAACAGTATCCATCAAACCATTTTCTCATCAAATTATTGTTAACACATCCCAAATAGGCAATAGCATGTCCAATGCATACCCAATAGGAAAAAGATCCCAAAGATTTGTGACGTCCCACATAAATCTCATTTTAGTTTTGTAAAATAGAAAGCAATTCATTACGTCATCCAAAACAACCTAAACATGACTTAATTGAAGCACCGACTGACCCAAGCATCAAACACCTAACCCAAACATGATCCGGACCCAAATGGGATTTCAAGTTTAGTGAAAAAACAACCAAATTAGATACCATCCCTCGCAGCGTCAAGACAAAGATTCTCCATGTTTATCACTCAGTTAGTAGTACTCAGTACACACACCAAACAGCCAGAAGCCATAGAGAAAACCATACTTTATACACAGATCTCAATAGGAATGAACCAGGTAAATATGTTTCAGAATCTTCTGCAACCAAAGCAAAAGAAAATTTACAAAGCACCGAATCAATCGGATTCGTATTAGGATCTTAATGAGCTAACCTTCGAGCATTCATGGCTCACAAGGACCAGAACAATTCGACCCTATCGCTGCTTCTTTGATCTTTGAATTTTGAGCTACTGTAAGCCAATTTGAACTTTTCAAAAGAATAATCTAAAACCAAAACTAAGATAGATGAAATGAGCCGAGGATTGAGGGGGTGAGAGGAATTCAGATCTGAGAGATTGGGAGCGAAGAAACGTACCGTTTGGAGGGAAGCCGAGGAGTTCTCCCCGCGGAGTAAGAAAGAGGGGAAATGAGAGTGAGTCGCTGGGATTTATATTCTGAAGGACTGATCTCGCGGGGGAAGAAAGTTTTACGTCTGTGGAGCCCAATCTGATGGATGAACTTGGATAAGAATTGAAATGTTTTTTACTGTGTTTTATCTTGTTACTCTTCCTACTGCCAGTAACAGTAAATGAGTAAGAAAAAATTTACGTCTGGCATGTTTACTAACACATTGGTGTTGAAATAATTCCAATTTATTGTTTTTCATATATTTACTTACACGTACGGAATAAAAAAAAATCATGAAAATTTAATGGTAAAATTCATGATCAAATATCCTAAAAGTTATGAATTATATCAACTATGAAGAGTAATTGATCCGATTCTTATTCATTATTTTCAAATTAAGTTCCTCAACTCACATCTTCCCTCCTTCTTTGTAAGTAAACATGTAGCATTGTTTGTTAAGTAATTTTGCAATCCAAAGCTCAAAATAAAATGTTTATTGAATTTTTTTTAAATGTTCAATTTATTTTCTTCTTGTTGGGTTGGGCTGGGCCGCTCTGTTTTGTTTGGGTTATTGGGCTGGGCTGCCCTTCCTTTTCGACACGTCATCGTCTTCTTCAATTAGGAGCATGAGCATCTGGTTCTGGTCAGACTGAGAGACAAACAAAAACCCTAAGCCTTAAGAAAGGTGGAGCTTGTTGACATACGCATATCAGAAGCGCCATCAAGCTCAAAGCTCACAGCGCGAACTCATGGGTTCACTGAACGAAGACGGCACCAAGACCAGCTTTGAGTCATCACCGGAGATGGTGAAGTTTCTCTGCGACCGATTGCTCGACCCGACCCAGCCCATCTCGGAGCGCTTCAGAGCCTTGTTCTCTCTCCGCAACCTCAAAGGCCCTGGCCCTCGCAACGCTCTCATTACCGGTTCGTTTGTTTAGTTGTATGCAAGTGTTTCTATTATAGTGGCAGAGCCAATTTGCTTTCAATTTCAGGACTTGTTCATTCACTCTTATTGGGTTTTTCATTTCTGGCAAAGGGTTCTTGTTTACTGTTTCATTAGTAGTTTCTAAGTACTTATTTTGATTTTCAAAGCAAAATTTCAGTATCTTTCTCCTTGAGCTAAACTAATAGTTTGAATGAATATCATTGACTGATCAGCCTCTGCATGCGTTATAATATTGTTTATGTGATAGAATGAACCTGGCTGTTCTAAACTGAGGACATTGATATTTAGATGTTTAATTCGTAGAGGGCATTATGCTGCACTTCCAGCATTACAATTATGAATGCTAGGAAATCGGTTGGAAGTGAACATGATATATGTGGTTGTTTTTATTTTATTTTCCTTTCCCTGGAAACTATTATCGGAATAATCCTCATCTGGTTTTCCTTTGATCTATCATTATGTGTGTTGATGATTGGTCGTATTGTAATTGCTATATGGATGTGTGCTTTCCGCTGCAGCAACAAGAGATTCTTCTAATTTGTTGGCGCATGAGGCTGCATTTGCATTGGGTCAAATGCAAGATGCGGATGCAATCCCTGCTTTAGTAGCGGTTCTCAATGATCTCTCTTTGCATCCCATAGTTCGTCATGAGGCGAGTAGTTTATGTCACCTTAATCGACTTATATATATATAAATATAAATTTTGGTGAATCTGCTTATGTTCTTAATCTTCTTATAATATGTCTAAGTCTTCTGATTGCCTTGGTGTAGGCAGCAGAAGCTCTTGGTGCAATTGGTTTAGAGAGCAATGTTCCTCTTTTAGAGAATAGTCTGGCTTTAGATCCAGCTCAGGAGGTAAAAGAAACTTGTGCATTGGCCCTTAATCGAATTGAGCAGTTGAAGGATTCTGGTAATCAATCCTTGGATGAAAAGTCACCTTTTATGTCAGTTGATCCTGCTGCACCAGCTACGTCTTCTTCTTCTGTAAATCAGCTAAGGTGAGCCCGGTTATCGTCCCTGGCTTAGATTTTCTTCCACTCATGCTAGTTTGTTAGATATCTGACTCGTGTTATTCATTTTAAGGGAAGTTCTGCTGGATGAAAAGAAAAACATGTATGAGCGCTATGCGGCTCTATTTGCTCTGCGGAATAATAGTGGAGATGAAGCTGTTTCCGCTATAGTTGATTCTTTGGGTTCAAAAAGTGCCCTCTTGCGACATGAGGTTTGTTTATTATCTTATCTAATCATATACCGAGAAGTTATAAACATAGACCACTCCACCCTCATGGATTTTTTACAAGGATTCTTTAAAGTTGATATTTCTAATTGCTTTTGGAGCAATGGACACCCGTGCAAAACTAGCATGTTTTACACTGCTTACTGTCTTAAATTTGTTTTGACCAGTGGGTGTCATTTAACCTTCATATCTTCTTTGCTGTGGTTTTCAGGTTGCTTATGTGTTAGGACAATTGCAAAACAAAGATGCTTCAGCTGCTCTTTCCAACATACTTATGGATAGAAATGAGCACCCAATGGTTAGACATGAAGCTGCTGAAGCTCTGGGTTCCATTGCAGGTATGACTGCTTGGTATTTGTCTAATTGTGTTCTCCAAGCATACCTATCTGTATATAGAGTAGTAGCTGATAGGTGGATTTTCTGCTACCTTCCTTGTGTGCCTGTCATATGAGGTGGCAGGCGCTGAAGACCCTTTTTCTAAGAATGTACTTGATGTGAGATTGTTATATAGGAACCTCAAATATTTTGAGTTTTGGGTTATTTGATTGAGTTGCTGCTTTGTGTGTAGATGACCAAAGTGTATCACTTCTCAAGGAATTCGCAAAGGACCCTGAGCCTATCGTGTCACAGAGTTGTGAAGTTGCTCTAAGCATGCTGGAATTTGAAAGATCAGGAAAATCCTTTGAGGTATGCATATATCAAAATATGGTTTCAAACCAATCAAACTCTAACATATCATCAGGAAAATGACTAAAGTCTCTGTGTTATGTGCAGTACCTCTTCATGCAAGCTCCTCCGGTGCAATAGATATGAACAGTTAGTTTCCGTCTCCGGTGCATTTCATCCATACACCGAACTTTGAAGCCCCAATGCAGACTCAGACAGTTCATCAAAGTTGTGCAAGCATGAAGTTTGGGAGAAAGGAAGGAACAAAGTTTTTGCTTGCTCGAATTAACCTGTATTTTTTATGTCATGGCTACCCTAATACATGGCTACAGAGTAGTTAACTTATGATTGGATGATTATCGAAGTATTATTTTATGGAATTTGTATAATGTATACCAAAATAGTCTTATGTTCCGTTTTATTTGTGGATAAATATTGGCCCTGCAACTTCATATGCTAACAATTTTGGATTAAACAAATTTCCCAAGAGACATGCCGACCTGAATTTACTTTGCCTTTTTTATTATTTTGGGTAAATTGACTTGTTTCCAAAAGCTTCTTTACGCGTTCAAAAAGAAAAAAAGAAAAAGGAAAAGGAAAGCTTCTGTTTTTTTTTGGTCGGATAAAAAGGAAAACTTCTTAAGCAAGGACGTTCAAAATAACTTAGTACAGATATGGGCCGGGTCGGATCCGTCAAAATATGTGGATGTTAAGCAAGCACCTTCTTAAGAAAGCTTCTTAAAGCTAGACAGACAGCAAGCGACAAGCAGCCCGCGGAGCTCCGAGTGTCAGTGGTAAAAGAAAGTTCAATACCAGTCAGAGTCTCACTTCCCAGAGAGAGAGAAGAGAGATAGAGAGAATGGCGAACCCTCAGCCCCCGAAGCCATGGAAGGTGGAGTATGCCAAGTCATCGAGATCATCATGCAAGACCTGTAAATCCCCCATTGAGAAAGAGAAGCTTCGCCTCGGCAAGATGGTCACGGCCACCCAATTCGACGGCTTCATGCCTGTACTGTCCTCTCTCTCTCTCTCTCTCTTACCACCCCCATTTTACTTCCACTGTATTGTCATTTGTCACTATTATCACCCAAACGATAATACAAGAAAGTCAAGAAAGATTGCAAGAAACCCTGTTATTTTTGCTATACTTTCACACCTCTTAGCTTGGAAACATCGATTATGTGTTGATTTTAATTTCTAACACATGGGTTTGGTTTCTTTGTATATTCTGCTACATTTTCATTTAGCTTTCCTTTTTGTTAGTACAAAGTTAGGACCTTTATTCGTCCAAAAAAAAAAAAAAATAGGACCTTTTTGTTGGTCTTTTCACATTGTTTAGCATTCTTGGGTTATGTAATTGGATTATAAGAAACGCTTTCTGATGTTTGCTTGAACGGAAAAGTTTTCTTTGGGACAAGTTTTGCAGCTCTAGTGTAAAGTCGAAGTCTTGTTCAAAACATAATCAAGAAGAACATTCTCTAGAAAGAAGTTTCCTAAAATCTGCAAAACAGCAGAAATTTTCTTCTGCTTGAAAACTTATCCTTCTTCCCCTTGAATAAAATGGTGCTTTATAGGTTTATACTGCTGACCTTTCCCCAAAAAGTACTACATGTATAAATGTTTGGCTTGTTTTTGTTTTCTGAATCAGATGTGGAACCATGCTGATTGCATAATGAAGAAAGCAAAGCAGATAAAATCGTATGTATTATTCCCATATTTATCATTTTTCCGTTGAGTGAAGTGGATGAATGCAATGATTAACTGATACGCCTGTGTCTTGCATCTAGAACCGATGATGTTGAAGGCCTAGAGCTCCTTCGTTGGGAAGATCAGAAGGAAATTAGAAATTATGTACAAAGTGGAGGACCCCCAGATACAATAACAACAGTAACAACAACAAGCAAGGTCAGTAGTGGTATTGAAGTTTCACCAACTTCTCGTGCTACTTGCAAGAGCTGCAGCCAAAAGATTTTAAAAGCAGAGGTTGGTAATTGTTTATCTCTATCTTTTATATGCTCAGTAAGTACATTTTTGTCTTAGTTGGGTTTGGTAGATTTCTTTGGATCTATGGTGTGAGAAATGAAATCTGTAAATCAAAAGTAAGTTTTCAATGTTGATAACCATGAATTGAAACCATTTTTCTTTTGGGTGGCACACTAGTGTATGATTGAACACGTTCAAGACAAGAAAGCTGAAACTTGTTGAGTTACCAGCCAAAGTGTCTTCCTAGCATCCTCTCTTTCTTTCTCACTCTCTCACGCACTCATGTCTGCCCAGACACACTACAACAATATTCTATGGTTCTGTGGCAAGCTTTAGTCCCAATTTATAAAGAAAATGTTAGCTTATTTTAATAGAAATGTATATCATCATCGTATATAAGATACAACATCTTTCTCCAATTCTAGTTCATAAAGCATAACTGAAGTTTACTCTGCATGATTGCTTTTTATTCCATTTTAAGGTCCGTATATCAACCAAGCCTGAAGGTCAAGGACCTAGGGGCCTGGCATGGCACCATGCCAACTGTTTCATGGAATTATCACCATCCACTGAAGTGGAGAAGTTGTCTGGATGGGAGACCCTCCCAGTTGCTGATCAGGCAGCTGTACGTGCCTTGGTTAAGAAGGTTCCTTCTAATGCAAGAGGTGGTATGAAGTTCATTTTGTTTTTATTGTAGGTTGTTTCTATGCAGTAATAAGCAGTTATCTTTTGTTTGTCAGTTGCTATTGTTTTTCCTCTTATAGCAGTCATCCTTTCAGGCAAGAAAACTAAGGAACAAGAGGATAAAGAATTTCTGCAACAGTCAACTCCTAGCACTAGCACAAAACGAAGAAAAGATAGTGGTGGTGATCAGAAGTCAAAAGTTGCTAGGTCGGAAGGAGATGTGTCAACGAGCTGGGATGTGTCCGCGAGGGATGCTACTGATCTGGAGAGTAAACTGGAGGCTCAAACTAAGGAACTGTGGGCACTGAAAGATAATCTTAAAAAGCATGTGACGACTGCTGAGTTGCGTGAAATGCTTGAAGCGAATGTTCAAGATTCAACAGGATCAGAGCTTGATTTGCGTGAGCGCTGGTAATATCATCTATGTTCTAGCTGTGGAAATTGCGTACCTTTTGTCTTTTTTTTCCTCCCTTTAGGTTCAGTTTTTTTATTTTATTTTTGTAAATTTCACTTTTTCAAACTGGCTTTTTATTTTTATTTTTAAATTTTGTTTCTCCATAAATGCTTTTATACATTTGTCTTGTTTTGTAGTGGATTGCATAGAATAATCTTGTTGAATGTTGTTGCTTGATTTGTTGTCACAATCGAAACCTTTTGTTTGGTTTCTTCTTCCCCCCCCCCCCCCCCCCCCCCCCTCATTTCATCTAATTAATTTAAGGTTGATTAACTCTTTATTGCTGTACTTTTTTAGCGCTGATGGAATGATGTTTGGAGCACTTAGTAGATGCCCAATCTGTTCTGGTTTTCTTCGTTATTCTGGGGGCATGTACCGGTGCCATGGCTACATATCAGAGTGGAGTAAGTGTTCTTACTCTACTGAGGAACCTGAACGCCTTAAATGGAAGTGGAAAATCCCAGAAGATACAGATAATCAATATCTTAATAAGGTATTTAATTACAACTTATGTCCTGTATGTAGGGATCCAAGTTATGGCTTAAGTTATTTTTGTTTTTTGTTTTTTATTTTGCAGTGGTTTAAATCACAAAAGGTTGAGAAACCTGTGCGGATACTGCCTCCATTAACACCTAACAAACCTTCTGGAAGTCAAGCTTTCAATGGCCAATCTCAGTCATCTAACAGTGCAAGCTTGGCAGATTTGAAAGTTGCTTTTCGTGGATTACCAAAAGAATCCATGGCATGATCATTTGTTCCTTTTATGTGTATTTAATTCATAGTATCTGTGGGAATTTTTTTTTCTGCACTTTCACTTCGGTCTATCAATTTCATTAAGGGTGATTGTGCAGGAAGAATGGAGTAGAAAAATTGAGGATGTAGCTGGACTGGTTCATTCGAAGATCAAGAAAGGCATGTGCTTTTCTTGCACATAATTTGATTTAGTGCCTTGCCTTCTTTGGATTATAGCTGTATCTGTTGACTTAAGGATGCATAACATTAGTTATTTTGTTAAACAAATTAAAGTGCAGATACTAATTGCTTAGTTGTGAGTGGAGCTCTTGATGATAAGGATGCTGAGATGAGAAAAGCAAGGTTAAGATGCTATCAAGTTGCCGGTCTTGACTCTTGAGTGTATTTCTACCTTGGTTTTTGACTGGGATAAGTTACATTTTCAGGAGAATGAAATTACCAATTGTTAGGGAGGATTATCTGGTTGATTGCTTTAAAAAACAGAAGAAGCTTCCATTTGATCTGTACAAAGTTGAAGTTGTTGGTGTAGCCTCTAGCATGGTCACTGTCAAAGTGAAAGGCCGAAGTGCTGTTCATGAATCTTCTGGTCTGCAAGATACATGTCATATACTTGAGGATGAGAAAAGCATCTACAATACGACCTTAAGCATGTCTGATTTATCAACTGGTGTTAACAGGTGCATTTGGTTTATTCTATCTTTCTTGTTAATCAATTTTTCTGGAATTGATCTTGTTGTTTTCCACATCAATTGGCGCTACTAATTTCTTGAACTTAAGTTGCTAGTATCGTTTCTTGCCTCGGATCCTCAATCATTGCCCATCATGTTTTAAGATAAAACTATTAGAGCAAATCCTTGTGGAAGTAGTCCCTTGAATATGCAGTTTACTTCTGAACTTAAGTTCCGATGAAAGCATTATTGTGTACTTATCAATTTTTTTCTTCTCCAAAGGGATAAAATCATTATTCTACAGTATTGGAAGTTAAACTTTCTGTATTAGTTTACCCATCACTTGCAGTTAGTTTTGCTTTTAAAATAAGTATTCGGAACTCCTATTAGGGCCTATTACTTCTCAATATACTTGTAGTTAGTTGGGCCTGTTCTTTTGATAATGTATGTTATAAATTCTGATTTCTAACTCTTTCTTGCTGTCTCTCTTTTCTATTTAGTTACTACATTCTCCAAATTATACAAGATGATAAGAGTTCAGACTGCTATGTGTTTCGTAAATGGGGACGAGTGGGGAATGATAAAATTGGAGGTAACAAACTGGAAGAGATGTTGAAATCAGATGCGATCTGTGAATTTAAACGTTTGTTCCTTGAGAAGACTGGGAATTCGTGGGAAGCATGGGAGCAAAAACAAAATTTTCAGAAGCAACCTGGCAGATTCTTTCCATTGGATATTGTACTGCTTATTCTTTTATTTCTTTTATAATTATCCTCAAATGTGAAGGACCCATCCTTGGTGGTGAATCCTTGTTTCTGTATTTTCTTTTTCTTGAAGT